TTCCTCTCATCCCTCTCTTGCAAAACACATAAAGGTATGACCTCTCTCTCTCTCTCTGTCTCTCTCTCTCTCTCGCTTGTAGTTGTTTAATGGTGTGGTAAGGGTTTTCAGTAATGTGGTGGCGCTGTGATGGGGATGGAATCGTGTAATGGAGGTGCGGTGTGAGAGGAGGAGGGCTAGCGGTGGTATAGTAGGGAGGGAAAGGGCAGGCATTTCAGATTTGTAGTGGAGAAAAAGAGTAGTTTTGTAGTTGTGGATAAGAGGGAAGGAGGCAATGGATCTATGGTAGTAGAGGGTTGGAGGGGCTGTGGCAAGGGGTGGAAGGGGAAGTGTAACCAGATGGGATAGGGGTTCCTAAGGGGAATGAAGAAGTTGGGGAGCCAGAAGAGGTTTGGGCGAGGGAGACGGTGTAGAAGCCCTTGTGTTTGATAAAATACCTGTGTGAAACATTGCCATATTGTTGAGTATTTTAGAGTTGAAGGGTCATTGGATATAAATATGGTAAGCTATGGAAGATAGTGTGTGCATGCTTGTGTATGTGTAGAGGTCACCTAAATGCTGAGCAATGATAATCTGCAACAGATATGCTTCTGGAACTTTCATGAAGAGAGAAAACTGCTGGAATAAAACCTGATGAAGATCCTGATATACTTATGAAGGTACATATTGTTTACAAATGGAATATTTTTTCTTGTTATCCAAAAATATTATTTGAGTTAATTATTTATTTATACTGCTATATTTCTATGTTTTCGTCCTTGTAATGTTTGATGAGTAATTTTCAGGGCTTGCTTAAATAATATGTTTGTAGTCTGTACTCTGTAACACATAGTAATGTTGCTAGTCTTAAATTTATGAATTTGTTGATATCTTACTATCACAAGTTAAGATTCCAGGAAGTGGGATTTACCCTATATTGTTTTACCTGAAACTACTTTTGTGAATTGGTCTGTGTGGGCTGGTGATGTGTACAAAATACCTTCAAGAAAGAAAAGACTTGGTCTAAGCATTTCACAAGGATATAAAACTCTCTGATCTTCCCAAGATAACTCAAGTTTTTGTATCTCTTATTTTGTCTGTCACCGTATTATTTAACTCCTGCTTTGTTTCTCAGTTACTAGTTTGATTGGCTCGCTAATGGTGTAATTTCTCCGTGATGTAGCCCATTTTAATAATCTGGGGAGATCAAGATCAGATATTTCCACTGGAATTGGCGCACAGATTAAAAAGGTCAATACAAATAATTTTTTAATTTTAGTAACATTTTTTAGATGTAAGGTTTTGTATTTTGGCCCTCTTCGGTTTCCAAGAGGTTGGAGGAAAAGAAAATGACAACTTGTAACCTTTTTTATTTGCAAGATTTCTCAAGTTTAAATATCATTTGTCTTCTTGGCAACCAAGTGGGACATTTTCATTTTCTAATGTTTTGAATTGCTTTAAAGTCTGAGGCTTGATTCATTTCCGTTGAATCATGTTCCGTTTATTTTTTCAAGCATTTGAGTAAGAACACACAACTAGTGATCATAAAGAATGCAAGTCATGCAATCAATGTAGAGAAGTCGCAAGAGATGTTCAAACATTTGAAGTCATTCCTTGTCGATCCTCTTCCTCCTAAACTCAAAAGCAATGGCAACGATGACAAGACAGACTAAAGGATTTAGGAAAAAAAGGAATTCGAATCAGGAGCTGTTCTGACCATCCTCATGTGGGTCATAGAGAGTGTTTTGAACAACACAAGTGATTTTGAGGTTTGAAAGTTTTCATTACAGATTTTTAAAAAGATATGTATTTTATATAGTAAACAGTGCATATAAAATGAGTCCCATCGGACCTGTGCAAGCATGGTAAATTACTGACTTGAATTTAGTTTTGATGACTGTTGCAGAGGCTCTTTAACTATTAGTTGGATAATGAACTATTTGCCTTAAGGAGTGATAAAAGCCTGTTTCTTGCTGAGGCAATATATTTCTCGAATTTTGTTATTTATTGACTAATCAGTTATTTATTCTTATGTCCTATTCTTATGAAGCCCTAGATTTTTTTATTTGCAGGTTTATGATCATCGAATATATCAATATTTAGTGAGCCCTTTGGAGCCATTGTCTATTAGAAAAGATGATGAGCATGTTGTAGCCTACAGACTTCCAAAAAGTCAGGAAAAATTAACAACACTAGAAATATGTCATTGTGACCTAGAAAAGTGAGTGATCTTTTTTGAAACCATAGCAATGAGATTTCCACTGGGTTAAGGTTCAAAAAACAATAAGTTTCCTGAGTTCTAGTCAACAGCTATTTAATACTTGCAAGCCTTGTGTTGTGTCTTGGCCTTTACTTGGATGACATTAGGTCTATTATCTCATTTAGTTAGGATGGTCGTCTTTTTTTTTTTTTCAAATCTGAGTTTTTTTTTTTTCCTCTCTATTCTTCTGTAGAAAAGATTGCTTTTCTTATTAACAGATTGACATGTATGCATCAATTACTTTTTCCATACCTAATAGAAACTGGGATCCCATTCTTTGTTTGTTTTTCTTGTTTAACTTTTGAGTAGAATTGTTGGAGACATTATCTAAAAATTTTGTTAAAGAATTACATGGTTGGTGATTTAATGAATCTGCCAATAAAATTTTGTGAAAGAATCTGTGAATAAAATTAGTATTGCTGTAAAATTAGTATTGTTGATATATGATATATGATATTCACAAAAAAAGGTATCTGAAATTTTATCTGAAAATGAATTATATGATATACATTTAAAATTAGTATGATGTGAATCTTATCTAGAATGACTGTGATTTATAAATATATTTATCTGAATGTTTTCTAAGTAATTTTTTTAATATGTATTTATTTTATAGGTTTTTCTACTTAGGTTATTCATAAAAAAATAAAATCAATTACTTAGGTTATGATTTGGATTGAGTCCTTTGCTTCTGTGATCATCCTTGCTAGTTGGACTAGCCTCCTGATTCTTCTTGGATACCATGCTTGGCTGTTTGAGGATCCTTGTAGATACTTGATGCTCTACTACTGCCATTATTTCTTGCCTTTGTTTTAGTTGGCTGTGGGCATCTTCTCTTTGAGTAGTTCCTCCTTGCAGGCTGTTTTGAGGTCTCCTTCTGTTAGCAAGTTCACAGACCCCATCTCTCTTTGTTTATGTGGTCTCTGAACTTTTATTTATTTTCTTTTCATTTAGCCTTACCATATAACATACCTAGGTTCATATCTCAATTTCCACGACCAACCCAATTTCAATTGATTATTTATGTGAACACTTATTACCTCTATGAGAATGGGTTGTTTGGGTGAGCATTTGTAAGTTACATTAACTAATATATAATTCTAGGAGTGATTAATATAATACAATTACCTGGGCAGTTATTACATAGGAGAAACAATTAAGGTAATGTTTGGTTCATTTAAATTTTTAGTTATGTAAATTAAATAAGTAAATCAATCATGTTGGTCCAACCCAAGAATTGCAGGATCCCAAACATTGGAGACAAGATAGGCCTTAAGTTCTAAGTGGGAAGATATAAAATGGCAAAAGACATCTCAACATTGGGCCCATAATTGCTTTCTTTTGGATTTGATATTCTCCAATTGTGATCTCTAGGATTGAATGCATCAGTCTGAATATCGCTCAGGTAATCATGCTATGCAATTCCATTAATCCTAATTCATTTAGGATCATTTGTAATATCTGTTACATAGTTCAACATTCACCCTGTGTAATTTGAGTAATGAATTGAGTTATTGGTAAAAGAAAAAAAATTACCAAGAATGTCGTAGTGAAGCATAACCCAAAACTTTGCCAAACTATTGTAAGCATTGATGTAACGCCCTCAAAATAAACCCATAATAACCATAACATTAACATGCATTTATAAAAGAAAATGAATCATTTGAGTTATTCATAGTGCCTGTGTCAGGCACAAATGACAACTAAACAAAGGGATCCATAGTGCCATAGTTCAAGACTCATTCCGTATAGCCTCTAGTCTATATCTGCTTTGGTTATGGATGATAGGGGGGAGTAGCATTCCTTTGTTCCAGATGGTAGTAATGTCATTAGTACTACTAGAAAACATGAATTCAGAGTGTTTTATTAAGCAATGAATCACCTTGGTTAAAATTTATGTTGGTGTACCTAAAAATTAATTGTTGGAATCTATTTGGACTGCCATATTGTCTTTTTTGGAGTCGCTTGAGGAGCATTTGGAGATGACATCAAGCATAATGGAGTTTCTTAAGAAACAAGGTTTCAAAGGACAATTTAGAGGAGGAGGTATCCCATGAACTCGTACATCGCCTTTTTGGTAAGTCTCGCAGGGAATAGTAAAAGAGCACGGAATGGGCATAAAGAAATTAGATTTGTTTTATTTTATTTGCTGTCAGGTTGTCAGTTTGTTTGCATTTTAAAGAGTTAGTTTTTTATGAGGCTTATCTTATGCACACCAGAGCAGCCCTCTTTATGCCTCTGTGTGCATGTCCTCATGTTTTGTGTTTATTACCTTTTTTATTCTTCTTGTTTTATGTTTAGTTATTTACCTTTTGAATCTGTACATGTTATCTATTTGAAAAGGGGTAAGATGAACTAAGGTTCATTTATAAGCCTATCTTCCTTAGATCCTTTAGTTGAAAGTACGTTTTCATGTTGGGATGGGAGTTGAGTTAACTGTTCCTACATTTACATGATCTCGTTGACAGGTCAATAATCTGCCTGTAAATATTCTGCATGTTGGATACAATGCTCAGAGCCATGGTCAGAGTTCATACTCTTCTGATGATTTGCCCAAGGTTGTTGTTATGACTTTAAATCAAGGTTCAGCTGTGAAGAGTATGGATTTCCATCCAGTTCAACAAATTCTACTACTTGGTTAGCTCCTACCGTGCCCCACTTTTCTGTGTTGGTCAGCTTTGAGGAATATGGATAATTGTTTGTTTATTTCTTTTGTTTTTGTTCGTATGTTGATAATTTGATTTATGATAACTAATTGTAGTTGGAATAAACACTGGAGAGATCATGGTGTGGGACCTCAGTAGTAGGGAGAGGCTTGCTGTTAGGAATTTCAAGGTTTGGGAACTCCAAGCATGCTCAATGCCTCTGCAGGTTAGGCTGCTTTAGTACTAAATAACTTTGAGTGAAAAAAGTATGCATTTGATGCTTCCTAGAGTCATTGATACATTTTTTGATTGTGTATCAGGCATCTCTGGCCAATGATTATACTGCATCTATCAACCGTGTGATTTGGAGTCCTGACGGTACCTTATTTGGTATGTTGGCCTAACATGATTGCTCCATTCTACTTAAAAATATTTTTCGTCATATTTTGAGGATTTTTCTTCCTCTGAAATTGCTCTTCTAGTGCTAGAACTAGAGTTGGCTATGCTTCGCATGATCTCAGCTATTGGGCAAAGAATATCTCCTACAAAAGAAAATTCTCATACATTGAACCGTCCATTATTATTATTATTATTTTGTTGACACTAGACAATGTACTTCAATGAAGGATATTGAGAATGAATTGGGGATTTTGTTAGTTCTAAGATCACATTCTTACTTTAGGTGTTGCATACTCCAAGAACATTGTGCACATATATTCCTACCATGGTGGCAATGATGTACGAAACCATCTACAGGTTTGTGCCACAATCAATCAACTGGGAGTCCATTGATTTTCTTTTGCTTTGATGTTTTTTTTCCTGTCAATATTTCCAGTGTTCAAAGCTTACTTTAAATCTCTGCACAATATCATTATTTGTAAATACCTTTTTTTGGTTATCCAAATTGATGCTCATTCTGGTAGTGTTAACGATCGTGCATTCTCTTACCCAAACAAATAACTTTCTATTGTCACATGCGGGGAGGATCGGCTCATTAAGGTTTGGTTTCTATGTCACTGCTTTACAAGTAATGCAGAGGATTGGACATTAGTTGTAAAGGTTTAATTTTCTACAGGTGTGGGATGCAGTTACAGGGAATACGCAGTATACTTTTGAGGGTAATGAAGCACCAGTCTATTCTGTATGTCCACATTGCAAGGAAAACATTCAGGTATTCTTTGTTCACTATATAATATATAAAAGAAGGCATTGAAACTAATGCTAAGCAATGTGTAATATATGAAGAAATATGCGATGTAGGTGCCATATCATGCCATATATTCTGCCATTAGTGATAGTGATATATGGTATTCTTGCAATCTTTTGGCATCTTATGTTATCAACCTCTTTGGATATAATAAATTGTAGAAAAATTATTTTGATAAGCAAATCAAGTGAAACCAATTGGGTTTGAAACATAGGATATATTAGATCATATCTGGAGGTTATTGGAATTTTTCAAATAGCGTGGAGTGGATTTTGTAATTTTCAAAGTTAGCGAATAGATTGGGAAAACTTGTTTAAAACACTGTTTCATCTTAAAGTTATTTTTAGTTAAGTTTCGATCGGAACCCATGTCTTAGA